CAGCAATATGATGTATCTATTCTTGTTGATTTAGACTTTAAACTTCCCCTTTCCTATGTTTTTAAACAAAAACAGGGACTAAAAGTGCAAGCAGTACAATCATTTGTTTGCTCAGCTGAAGACAAGGGGCCTGATACCCACGGGGCTGTGCCATGGGGAATCCATTTATGTCAAGGCAGGTGTGAAATGCTGCTGTGACGGGGTGGTAGCATTTACCACCAGCTTTGCACTGGTGCAAATGACTGTCCCAAGTGAAGGGTTAGGGATGAATCAAGGCCAAGGACTCTCACTGAAATAGTTTTCTCTGTCTCAGAGTTAGCTCATGCACTATGCCTGCATCCATTTTGTAGTCCAGAACACTCCTTGAGCTGTCCACTGTGCTCTTGAGCTCTTTTGGCACCCATAGGCACAGACTAAATATCTGAGGCAAGACCATAGCCCACACTGGCTCGTGTGCACTGCTTTGGTCATGCAAAGTGATTGGAAAGCTGACAGCTGCCCAAAGAGACCCCCAATGTAGACACTGCCATGGCTTTTATATTACCTGCAGCAGAGAAGGCATACTCATGGGAGCAGGTTCATGGCTGGGGCTTCCACTGGCCTTCAAAGCACTGCAGGTACAATCTACCTGGGTAGCCCCAGGGCATACATTACAGTCCCTCCTCCATCTCCTTCAGATATGTCCCCCTCTACCTGGCCCAATCCAGCTCTGAATTGCTGCAGATGACAACCAAGCTAGGGCTTGGGCAAAATGCAAACATGCCCTCTTTGAAAGATTTCACTTTTTTCAGGCAAAGTGGCACATCACTATTGCAGAAGGCGTTAGAAATGACTTGTATCCAGAAGCATCTGTAACATATACCCTGACCTTTTAAGCTGTATTTTAATACCCTCAATTACCAAAGACTGGATCCAGTTCAAACCACCCAAGTTTCACCAGTGTGAAAACTGCATGTCAACTGCACAGATTTCCAGGATGTGAGCCTGAGTGACACCATCTGTCGTGTTTGCTCAGTATGGCTGTATCCTGGTTTAATGACTTGGGGCAAATCCTGTTCCATCTTGTGGACATGGAGACCCACCAGACCCAGCCTGATCCCAGGTTCTCCCAGCAAGTGTGAGAACAGGACAAGCCAGTCCACCATGGCACATGCCCACGGGTCATTGTCTAAAGCAGTGCTTCTCAACCTTTTTAGACTCAAGGCACCCTTCAATAAACGCAAGACACCCTTTGATAAATTCAAGGCACTCCTCAATAGTCTCAAGGCACCCCCTGGAAAATGCCAGGTGTTAATTTTCACAATTTTTTTGAGCACAAAAAATACTAGAGCAATTCTTCTGTTGCAAAGAACTCAGAAAGACCACAACAGGTGTGGGTGTTTTTAATACTATGGATTCCTATGTAAAATCTCTAGGTTTATCTTGTGAATCATGTTTGGACGCCTAGCAGTGTTAACATTGCGTGGCACCCTGCATCACCCTTGTAAGGATCTCAATGCTCCCCAGGGTTTCACGGCACTCTGGTTGAGAATCACTACCCTAAAGGCTGGAGGGAAGCTTAACTACTACTCCCAAGTCCGGGAAAACTTCCTTTCTCCTAAACTAAACAGCACAGTTCAGATCACTGATCTGAGCCCACTACCAAGAATTTGCCCCATGTGCTTTAGGAGATGCCAAATCCATCAAAACTAACCTTATAACATATGCCTACTTCATCTGCCTTGCATTCTGTGTGGCGTTCAAGCTCGCACTTGGGATGTAGCTTTTCCATAAAGGTAACATGCCACAGCAATCTTTGCAGCCTGCACTGATAGTTGCATGGTACCTTGGAGATGCATAACTCCTTTCCCAGGTTCTCACTGGCTACCGCAGGAGCCCAGTTGTTTTTTATATCTTATATCAGATGTGCACTGGCTTCTAGTAGTTGCGTGTGGCTGGCTTGATATATATCCATTCTGCGTCGAGTTTGCCGCAATGTCCTCATCAAGCAGCACCTCTCTTTCTTTACAATGAAACCCCTTCCATCAAAGAGAAATCCCAAACAATATGAGGCGGCAGGAAAAAAGCAACGGTAACGTACTTATGGAGCAAGCATCTTTTCTCTGCACTGCTTGTTATTTCTCTAGACAAAGTGCTGACAACTCATTCATGCATCAGCCAGTTATTTTATTAATTGAATTCATGAATTCATTATTTCAAAATTAACATGCTACAAGAACAGCTCCAGCTGGGAGTCATCTGAGGTCAGGAAGGTGCACACTCGGGATTATATTCACACCCAGGTGGGCAGTATGTTAGCCATTGATGCGGGTAACACTTCTGGAAAGCTCTGCATACCATGGTGAGAATATAACCCTGTGCTGGAATTTGATATAAATCATATTGTTTAATGAAGGGGTTAGAAGTTGCCTTTGTCCTCTGCTAATGTAAAGTGTTATAACCCCATTCATTCAGGTTCATTTCATTTGGCTCAGCTCGCGTTCATATGTTGACCCAGTCCCTATTTATGAGGCACTGCTTTTCCTTGGCGTGAGGGTCACCATTTCATCACCATGTGCCTTTGCATCCGCAAAGACTCTGAGCTAGTCGGCTAATGCTCGCGTGTGCTCGTTTCATTGATCCTGCATAGCTGGAGTGAAAATACTGCCGTGTGCAGTGTGATCAAAGGTACTGTGGGTGGGGTTTGCATCAAGGCCTTTCCCATATCAACAAGTGGGCTTTTTTAGGAATTGGAGTTTTTAGGAAGTTTTCAGCACAAATATGAACTGTGGACTTCAATTAACACCTCAGTCCCACAGCCAGATGCCTGAATTCTCTCAAGGTCACAGGCTTTCTCACCGCCTGCTGAAAAGATGCTTGGCAATGAATTCATTGAGTTCGGGTATCCTGAAAATCCATCTCTTTTTAGTTGGACGTAGCATGGCAAGGGCAGTTAATCCATTGCTCTTAGGCCCCCATCCTACAAACATGAAGGCTTTTATAAGTAATCACACACAACTCTATAGGACCACTTACATGTGGCAGTGTTTCCATAGTGGAGACCGAGTCCATACATTTAGAAACATAAAGGAGTTATGATGTTATTAAAGAACTCCTGTTTCATAGAAAGTGAATAAGACTTGGCTTAACAATTGTAGTTTTTTGTCCACAATTGCAACATGACGAACAAAAGTGAGTAGCAGCAATAGTTGTGACACTAATAACTAGGTTGTAGTAATGAGTAGTCATGATAGCTCACTGACTACAGGCAAACCTTCAGTAATGACTCACAGGTTTGGAGATTAAAATGATTGCTGGGCTAATCATTTATAATGTTTTATTTGATTAATTTTGCCTCTCTTTCTGGTGAATATTCAAGTTGTTGCAGTTTGTTCTTTGTTCAGAATTACCCCGCAGCCAACATCTGTGACTAGTGCTTGGTTCCATTCAGCCGTTCATTGTAACTATTCAGTGTTTTGTGGTAGGGCTGGAGTGGTGTAACTGCGATAGTGCGAAGGTGTGGGAAGCAAGGTGTGTAACATCTGAGCTGTTTTCATTGGATACGTCTGCTATATGGCATGAATCGTTTCTCAGGTAGAATGATATTTACTCTTAGAATCAGACTTAATAGGCAAAGATTCATGGTCGTGAATTTGGAAGTCAGATTTCATGCATATTCCGCAATATTTGCTTTATATTTTACTTTTAGGATAAATGCCCCCCCCCGATAAGATTAAGATTATTTGTTATGGTCTCAGTGTTAAATGAACCCAAAAGGAGAACTTGTGCGAAACCTAAATGATATGTTTGCAGAAAATGTTTTATGGCACCAGCTTTGTTTAAGTTAAAATCTATCATCGATACAGAAACAGGAAGTTGGCTGAACCTCAGAAAATGTCTTAAAAGTATCATAGGATGCTTATGTTCCAAACAGATAGTCACCAGCTTTCAGGAAATGGGACCTTTTATTTTTTTTTTAAACATCTCATATGAAAGGGGTTCCCTAGTACTGTAATGACTGGGATGAGGTTTATTTTTGCTGAAAAATTCAACAACAACAAAATGTTCATCCCAACTTTCATTGTAACTTGATTTTTCATTGATAAAGTAAAATATTTTTCAGGGCTTGGACAGACATTCACTTACCCCAGTTTAACTTACATTGGGTTTGTAGACTGATATAAACTATGCCAGGATCAGTAAAGGCAGACAGTAGATGCTGTTATAGCATCTTGCCCCCAAGTAGTGAAGAACTAAGTAATAGCCTGTTGGCATTTAGCAACGGCTGCTTCAGGCTAGAAGTGGACAGATGAAACCTCAATGGGCATAACATACAACAGTAGAGTTTTACCCTGATTTTTTTAGGGATACTGTAATTCTCTAGCAGGTTACACAAAGATACCCCAGTTTACTGGTTGTGTCACCTGTCTGCTACTTTTTTGCACCGATGCAATGATCCTTACATTATATAAAGATTTAATCTATTCAGCACCTTCTGTTGTCAGCAACCAAAAGCTGAAAAATATTTGGCCAAAACATTGAAAAATATTTGTTTGGATTTTTGACAAAAAACCCTAAACTTTTCAAAAGGAAGAAAAAGAAACTTTTGTCAAGAGATACTTCACCATCAAAAACCACATTTTCCATCAGAAGCAATGGTTGGGAAATGTTCCAACAAATACTACTGGCAATAACACATACCCCTACACATTATTGTCACTCTGGAAATAAGCCCAGTTATGGGCCTGGGATTCAGACCAGTGGCCGTATGCCTCAAAGGCAAGAATATCACACACTAAATCATTTTGATAATGAAAGACAGGGACTTCCAGCCAGAGTTTGATCTTAGTTGCCCACACTGATGTCAACAGAGCTGGATCCTATTTATTTTGTTGTAACGGAAATGATCTTTCGTGTTTTGGTCTGTCTGAAAATGATCTTGGTCTTCCGACTCGTCACTAGCAGATCAGTTTGAAGCTGTTCCAGTGTTAGAGTCTGACTTGTTTCTCTTCCCTTCCCAGCTATCGACCTGTTGTACTGGCGTGACATCAAGCAGACGGGCATAGTGTTTGGAAGCCTCCTTCTGCTGCTCTTCTCTCTGACCCAGTTCAGCGTCGTCAGTGTTATCGCCTACCTGGCACTTGCTGCGCTCTCAGCCACCATTAGCTTCAGAATCTACAAATCAGTTCTACAGGCCGTGCAGAAAACTGATGAAGGCCATCCTTTCAAGTGAGTGCTTCTCCGTCATTGCCAGGGGTGTTTGTTCATCGGGTACAGAATTCATTCTTAGTGACATTCATCTTTCTTCATCTGCCATCAATATTTGTATATACGCTATACATCTTTTTTTATTCCTAATGGAGGGGAAACGTACTTTCCCTGTGTCTGTGGTCCAAAACGCTCCTGAACTGTATTTGCTCAAATTTAAAAACAAAATCAAGATCACCCTCCAGGTGATCACCCTGAACATTTGAGCTGGAAAGTTAAAACATTCGAGAAGTTGCAGGTTACTGGGAAGAAAGAAGGGAAAGCCTCATCTGCATTAAGCACAAATATACTTTCTGTTACAGCAAATATACTTTTTCTCCCAGTAGCAAGGATCTGGGCCGTTGCTTGCTTTATTGAATGGCTAGATAAATGTGCTTTAACATGGATAGTGCTGTGTAAATGCTAAGTGCTGATACTGTCTTCAGAGTGAACATGCTTTGTATCTTTACCCCATTGAGGTTAGACTGTCAACTGGAGGAGTGGTTCAACTTACTTTGTAAAGACAGAAGGTATGAGATGGGACCCTCCGCAGATTGACTTTTACCCCTCTCGTGTAAGGGTAACTAGAACCTGGAACACACTCCTGGCAGAGGTGGTGCGGTCGCCATCCTTGGAGGTGTTCAAGGGGAGGCTGGATAAGCACCTCGTTGAGTTCATTTGAGCTCATTAACCTCCTGTCTGTGGCAGGGGACCAGACTTGATCTTCCAGGTCCCTTCCGGTCCATTGATTCTTTGATGTGCAAGTGGAGAGAGGAGTCCTTCAACTTTCCAAGGCCCCTGACGAGAACCTTCAATGGGGCCAGGTTGTGCACAGAAAGAGGAGTGAGGGCTGGGACAAGCTGGGATGGGGACCAAGCAGAACAGAGATGGGCCACCCATCACTCTGCCCATCCACTCCCAAGTGATCCACCGAGTTTCATAGATACAGTTAGCTTGATAGGTGGTGTTGTACCTCTTCGTGTGTGCATCATAGTACTGGAGAACCAACTTTTCGTTTGAAGCTGTGATGCCAGGGAGTGGGATTCCAGTGCTGATGCAGAGGCCCAGTGACTCTGAGCAAATGACTTTGGCCACCTGTATATCACCTACTATCTGAGGGGCTAGACTGAACTCAGGGCTTATCTCCTAGTGTGGAAGAACCCCACATGCTCAATGGCCTGATGTGATGGAAGAATCACAAGGGTATCCTTGTATGACCTCTTCATATTGGCTTCTTCCCTTGGTTTGCACCACTGGAGCGGCAATGCAGCCTGTAGATATGCAAGGGTGGGATATCAGTACGCAAAGGTAGCACTGGATGTCAATGGCTCTGTGGCCTGTAGTGTCCATAGCACACAAATAAAGCTGCAAAGAAAATGGGTCTCTGTGTAGTAGGGAAGAGCAGGAAAAGGAAAGCATGAGAGGGAATGAAATGCAAGCTTGCCCATGTTTTGTAATGGGTTTTCTGTTTTTGGCAGAGCCTACCTGGAGATGGAAATGTCTCTCTCACAGGACCAGATTCAGAAATACACAGACTGTCTCCAGTTGTACGTGAACAGTACAGTCAAAGAGCTGAGGAGACTCTTTCTTGTCCAGGACCTGGTGGATTCCTTAAAAGTACGATTTTCTTTCACATTTCCAGCTCCAATCTAGAGGAGATATTTTAAAGATTAGAGTACTGTACTGATTCCATTAGGTTCAAGAGTCATAGTGTCTGTCTAAACCTAGCTGTGTATCTCTGTACAGCATAAAGGTTCCTCTCCTTTTGGTTCTAACCTAACAGTGTAGTGACTTAATGCTATACATTTGAATGTAGTGATCCACAATATTAGAAAAATTAAATATATAGGGCCAGCTGCTCGGTTCATATACAGTGGCAGAGTCCCAGTGAAGTCCATAAAGCTATACTGAGTTACGCTGTAAGGCTCTGGACCAAAGACAGCTGTCTTCTTCTCCACACTAATGGTCCCTCTGTCAATGCTGCAGTGTACTGCAAACAGCCTGCTAGCAACATCAGTTTGAGACTCACTCATCTCTAAGTAAAATTAGGATGTGATACTTCTCTTCCTCCTTGCCCACCAACCCATCCCCTCTTTTCATCACTTCCTGCTGAAGAAGTGTGTCTTGTTCCTGCCCACCCATGACAGTTATTTATGAAGTTATTTATGATTATTTTGATAACAAAAACACATTTAGCATCCTCCAAAAAATAAAGAAGAGATTATCAAGATGAAGATTGGCGGAAGTTAGGTTCCTAAGTTAGCAAAGGAGTCCTGGAAAATGTCACCCAGCAGCCCCAAAGTGTTTACAGTCTCAGACATCAATCAAGCAAAAAACCCTACTTAGAAAGACCCCCAGTGGCTAGGTGTCTACCCAAGCCAAGCTCATGTAGCATCAGGTCCTGAAGGTTGTATGTGCAAAAAACCAATACAGAGGATGAAAAGCAGAGAGACTGGGGGAACAGAAGAGAAGGTAAGTTATCCAAAAAACCAAACAGGTGGTTGATTTCTTTTGCTCTTCATACACTGTAAATGTTTGGGGGGGCTTTTTAAATTGATTTGAAAGCTCACCAAAAATTAATGTTATCTGCTCCAGATGTTCCTAGTTCGGAAGCATGCTGGCACATGTACGAGCAATGATAATGACATTTTAATATAGCAGAGTCCTAGCTAGATAAGTGAAGCCATTTACTCTTGTGCTGATACTTGAGGTGGGTGTTTGGAGAGCTAATGCTTTGTGTTTAATTTAGTTTGCAGTACTAATGTGGCTGCTGACCTATGTTGGAGCACTCTTCAATGGCCTGACTCTTCTGATAATGGGTAAAAATGAGCATTTATTTTAATGGGTCTTTTTAACTTCATTAAGCCTGGCGATTTCTATTTAGAAAAATAACAACCTTCGCTGCGCAACGTGCCTCCTCCATAATTGGTCAGTTTATTTTGCTTGCTAATAAATATTCCTTACATCTCATTCTGTTGTTTCCAACTATTTGCATAAGGCTGCGTTTTAGCTGCTTCTCAGCTATCAGGCCTACATTGATGATAAAACTCATGTTTATAAGATTCAAGCACTTCAGTTTTAATACAGAAATTCTTAAATGCCATGCCCGGGGACAGCCGTCACGTGCTTTGGCTGCTGTTTAGCATGCGTCTTGTTTTCTGTGTGTGACAACTCCTAGACTGTAATGCTGCGTTTTTTCCCCCCAGCCGTGGTCTCGATGTTTACTCTACCTGTCGTGTATGACAAGTACCAGGTAGGTCTGTCAAACATGGTACTATTGCAGAGGGATTGACTGTACACGTGGCTCTGATTGTTGATGTCGTGCTGATTTCTGGATGTCTGTTTCTGTTCTTTGTAGGCACAGATTGATCAATACTTGGGGCTTGTGCGGACCCACATAAACACTGTCATGGCAAAGTGAGTTCAGCAGCAGACTTGACAAGAAGCATCACTTTTGCTCACTTGGGCCTTCGGGCACACCTCTGTATTGGGGGTGGCACCTAAGGCCATTCTGCCTCTCGGACCATCACCTACCCATGCCCCTGGTGCCTGGCAGGGAAGTTCAAGGCCATATCCCATGCAGAATGCAGTACTCTGCCCTCCGTGGCTTAATCTCACCTTTCAGACAAGAGTAGATCAGGGTAAAGGCAAGTCCAAATCCTCCTTTTCCCTCTCATTCCCTCTTGAGAGCTATGGAGAGAGCAGTCCTTTCATTATATGGAGAGGATGCGGCCAGCAGCAGCAGCAACCTTCTCTGGCTGCCTCCATTTTTCCTTACTCAGCTACTTGGCCACTTAGGATAGGCAGAGACAGACAAATTGTAGCCTCTCCCTCGCCGTCAGCTCAGTGTTTGTGAATGGCTCCAGAGTACAGTTCTGCCCAGAAAACAGTATCTTCCTCCTTTTCTGACCCGTTGTCCCCGTATTGCAAGCCCACGCGTTGAAGGCAGACCAAGAAGCCTGAGTCCTTCATATGTAAGCTTTAACCAAGGTGGGCTAAGCAAGCCTGAATTCCCAGCACTGAGCACCCCAGGGCTGTGGTAATATTAAAAAATCCATACCCAAATGTTGCATTTTGACCTCATCTCTAGTTCCCTATGGATGGTAACGTGCGGTAGGATATCAAAGGAGTTCACTGAGCACATCCAAGACACAGGGCAGTCACTAAGGACCAGACAGCTTGCTCCTGCGTGTCATGCATTCCTGTGTGCCCATAGCCACACCATGGACTCACAATTCCCCACCAGCAGTGTCCCCCAGGACACTGCCCTTTCCATCACATAATGCAGCAGGGTAGCTGTAGCCACGCAGTGTTAAGAGTGGACAGATTGGCCCTATCTGCATCACTGAGCCATGGCTGTAGAGCTTCCAGTTGGGTGGGTACCAGACAGAGCAGCATGACATGTTCAAGGCCCCAGTTTGGGGTCTAAATGTGGTCTTATCCCAGCTCCCTTCTTTCCCATTCACAAACTCGCCCTCTCTTTATAGCTGTTGGACACATCTTGAGTGAAGGCAAAAAGCAGTGGTCACCTTCTAGCTAGGAAAATGAGCAATCTTCTGGAATGGTTTGGATGAACTGCAGCCTGACTCTGTGATCCTTTTTTTATTTCTAGGATTCAGGCTAAAATCCCGGGCACTAAAAGAAAGGCAGAGTAAAGCAGCCATCAAGGATCCATCAAGGACAAGTAGTGAATAATGGGGGAGTCTGAAGTGAAACAGCTCTTCTTACTCTTTACTGCAAATTTATCGTTCCTTTATTTTCCTCAATGCCATGATCTTAGAAACATAAAACACTGAAGCAGCTTTTTTCCCCTGCTGCTTCTGTACTTAGAATATTTGCAATCACTTGTGTCACGCACTAAAGTATAGTAAAGAGAAAAGTGTTCTAGATGTGGTTTTTTTGTGTTGCTTATAAAGTGCATGATGGTGAGAGCCTAAATAATATTGACCTCTCTCTCTATCTCTCTCTCTCTTTCTCTCTCTCTCTCAATCTCTCTTTCTCTTTTTTTTTTTTAGTGTTTTTCCTTCTATTGGCATCGCTTCTATAACTTTTAATGTTACATGTGACTAGGGCTTTCCTGCTTAGTGCACTGATGCAATAGTTAAAATTGCTTCTATGTCACTGGGTTGCTGGTTGGGTTCATCTTTATTAACTATATAGAATCGTAGACTGATGTTTTAGTGTTTTCCAGCACAGACAAAATAAACAGTAATCGGTACTTATAGTAGTCAGTTTTGTATAACTAATACAAAAGCGAAAACCCAGTACTTTTGTTGTAAGGGATTGACAGGCTGATGTATGGTAACTGGAGAGTTCCAGCTTGTTAAATTTATTACAATTTGTATTACATTCTCTGTAGTTCCTAATGGACTTAATTATGGACTCTGAATATTTGCACTTATGTACTTGATACCGAATGCAGAAATAAATGTTACTAAATGTAAAAAGTTCTCCCTTTTGTCACTGCCAAGGTTGTATTAGAGCTTGCAAAGGTGAGAACCAAGTTTTTATAAGGGAACCGGGAGGGTGCACTTGTCAGCCTGCCTATGCCCATTTTTCATGCACGACAGAATGGTGCAGTCCCCCAAAATGGTGTGTGTCAGTTCATCCGCCGCTTTCACATCTTGGGGAGTAAAGAATGGAAATAAAGCCAGCTTCCTAGTGCCGCAAGGGTTTCGTTTTGTTGGTGGCACTGATCTAGTTCAGGCACGTGAAACAAATGATCAGTGCACCAATGAATGGTCAATGAACCGTTGCGAATAATCAGTTGCCTGATTACCTACCGAAACAGGGTTCAGATCCTAAGCAACACACCACCGAAAACAGTCTGCACCACACAAGAGATTTTTACTCTCCCTCTATTATTCACTGCTACTGCTTTAAGGTGTTTTATTTCTCTGTCTGGGCCAGCCTGTGAGAATCGGTGCTGAACACACACATGCTGGGGACCAAAATGGATGTTTGCTTCAGTTCCAAGTTAACCAGTCCTTTTAAACATTGAAATTTAGTTTTTAGGAGCATGACATTTTAGAACTTGCTTGAATTAGGACTGACTGGGATGGCTGGAAACACTTCTGTCTACTCCAGTTTGAGAGAGAAAATTGGGTATTTAACTAAATACATTTTTTTAGGGAAAACATCTGTTTCCCATGGAATTTTTTTTTAACTTGAAAAAAACCCAACTTTTTTGGCCCAAAATGATCGGTTTTCCTTTTTTAATGAAACTTCACATTTTCTGGAAAAAACTGGAAGCTCCTGGAATACCGCATATCTCTCCGATCACTGCAAGCTGCATTTCTCGGTTGAAATCATCATGTTCTCGTGTCTCTTACTGCCCAGTCACTGTGACTATACGCATCTCAATCGTGGATCGAGCTGTCATTGTGCCAAGCCCTATATAAATGTGAAACAAGATGACAGCGCCTGCCTCAAAGTTGACAGTCTCCATTAACTCCATCAAGGGGCTCTCAATTTCCACGAGGGTCAATGCGAGGAGAATCAGAGTCCTAGCAAGGTTATTTCCATCTCATGCAGCCACTATGAAAGAAAACTGAATTCTTCAAAGCCAGAACGGTAAATCTGAGAGGCAGAATGAACAGGTGATCCAGCAACAGCTGAAATTCACCTTCATTGTCACAGCCTGGAGTTTTTTACTTCCCAATGAATACCAATTGCCCCTTTTTCATTTAACGTATTTGGCTTTAAATACCCTTGCATGTTTTATAGATCTCATTCCCATCTGTGCCACAAACATCTTTATAGATCCAAATCACAACTTTGTGTCCTCTTGAAGAGAAAAATAGAGGACATAAAGGCATCTGGTTTCATATCAATAGAGGACAGAAGACAACCGGACTGTTAAGAAAAATAGTGGACATAAAGGCATCCAGGTTCATATCAATAGAGGACAGAAGACAACCGGACTGTCCTTTATGATGGCCACCCTAGCCAGGAGTCTCAAGTCTATCCATTGGTGCCTAAAAAGGTTGAGAAACCACTGCAATGGGCTGCTTTTTTAATTGGTGTGAGCATTAGATTGTTTAATTTGAAGCCAGTCATTAAATATTAACACACAGACCATCCACTGCTCTAATTGCATATCTGACTTCCATAGTTTCACGGGGGCAGGGTCTGGACTGCTGGTTCGGTGAAGACCTTGTACATTATGCTGAGGGGAAACCAGCACGGGTTCGTGGCAGGCAGATCGTGCCTGACCAATCTAGTCTCTTTTTGACCAGGTTACGAAATGCCTGGACACAGGAGGAGGGGTGGATGTTGTATACTTAGACTTCAGGAAGGCCTTCGATACGGTATCCCACCCCATACTGGTGAACAAGTTAAGAGGCTGTGACTTGGATGACTACACAGTCCGGTGGGTGGCGAATTGGCTAGAGGGTCACACCCAGATAGTCGTGGTGGATGGGTCGGTTTCGACCTGGAAGGGTGTGGGCAGTGGGGTCCCGCAGGGCTCGGTCCTTGGACCGATACTCTTTAATGTCTTCATCAGCGACTTGGACGAGGGAATGAAATGTACTCTGTCCAAGTCTGCAGATGACACAAAGCTATGGGGAGAAGTGGACGCGCCGGAGGGCAGGGAACAGCTGCAAGCAGACCTGGGCAGGTTGGACAAGTGGGCAGAAAACAAGAGAATGCAGTTCAACAAGGAGAAATGCAAAGTGCTGCACCTAGGGAAGAAAAATGTCCAGCACACCTACAGCCTAGGGAATGACCTGCTGGGTGGCACGGAAGCGGAAAGGGATCTCGGAGACCTAGTGGACTCCAAGATGAACGTGAGTGGGCAGTGTGACGAAGCCATCAGAAAAGCCAATGGCACTTTATCGTGCATCAGCAGATGCATGACGAATAGGTCCAAGGAGGTGATACTTCCCCTCTATCGGGCGCTGGTCAGACCGCAGTTAGAGTACTGCGTGCAATTCTGGGCGCCGCAATTCAAGAGGGATGCGGATAACCTGGAGAGGGTCCACAGAAGGGCCACTCGTATGGTTAAGGGCTTGCAGACCAAGCCCTACGAGGAGAGACTAGAGAAACTGGACCTCTTCAGCCTCCGCAAGAGAAGGATGAGAGGCGACCTTGTGGCTGCCTATAAGTTCATCACGGGGGCACAGAAGGGAATTGGTGAGTATTTATTCACCAAGGTGCCCCCGGAGGTTACAAGAAATAATGGCCACAAGCTAGCAGAGAGCAGATTTAGACTGGACATTAGGAAGAACTTCTTCACAGTTCGAGTGGCCAAGGTCTGGAACGGGCTCCCAAGGGAGGTGGTGCTCTCCCCTACCTTGGGGGTCTTCGAGAGGAGGTTAGATAGGCATCTAGCTGGGGTCATCTAGGCCCAGCACTCTGTCCTGCCTATGCAGGGGGTCGGACTCGATGATCTATTGAGGTCCCTTCCGACCCTAACATCTATGAATCTATCTAGTGGGTCTCTCTGAGGACAGAAAATCTTTGCTGTTGGCGACGGTGTGTGAAGAGGGCAGACCTGGTGCAACTCCTGGGTTGTGTGATAAGTTCGTGGGTTGTGGAGTAGTATATGGGGATTTGATTATGCTTTTTGTTTTTAATCCAATTTATGGCACATGAGTTACTGGAATCAGAAGAGATCACAGTTCCCCAGTGGGTAGGCCCTTTCATTTTGATGCCTCGTTTACATTCAGAATAAAACACCACAGCAAACAAGCTTGATTTATAAATGAAATAAATGTTTTCAGGACTGAGTAGAAACCCAGGAGATAGCTCAGGTGGGATCATAGGGAACTAGAGTGGGATCAGGTGGGATCATAGGGATCTAGAGTGCCATTCTGTTCTTTTCCAGCTGTTTCATATCAGGGGAACTTTGCACATAAGTGTTTCTGGATGAAATTCAAGAGGAGACCCAGCAAGAAACTTAATGGGTTTCACCTTAAGTCCTCTTGGTATCAGAGAGGCTGCCCAAGTGCTTATCATTGGGCATGTATTTAAGCAACTCACTGACATATCACTGCCTGTTTTGAAATGTGGTTACTGTAGAAGTTGCTCCTGCAGTGCTCTCCCTTTAAGTTGGCTGAGATATTACTGCTGATAGTGTCTGACAGCATTTTTTTCAGGAGGGAAGATGGGGCATTTTCAAGGCAGAATGGTCACCTTTTTTGGTGACCCACCAGAGCGGAGCTTTATTGAGCTTGATGCAGACTGACGGTTTGGGGTAAGTTTTGGCTTGGATGGGGGGCATCACCGGGTTATGTGTGTTAGCCTGGATAGTGCAGGAAAGGGACTTGTGTCCTGTGCAGTATTGTGCCCTCATCTATGTAATATGCCTGTGTGGTGGGCACATTCAAAATGAAGAAGGACATTTTAATGGAAGCAAAATTTAATCCTGGTGCACAGGCTCGAAACCAGGAGTGGAGGTGGGTTGGTGACTAACTTCAGTAATAATCTCCTTGGCTCTGGAAAGGTGCCATGCGGCGTGCCCTTGAACTGTGGATTTCATTCTTTCATGTTGTATCTCCTGCAGATTCTGTGGATCAGGTCTTCAATGGGTGTTTGTTGGAAGGGAAGCTTGTTGAAGTCAAAATTGCTCTGGCTCTTTACAGTAGAGCAGCCATACTGCTTTATATCACCCATGAACCTGGCTCTTTATTCCTGAAATATAGTTTTATTGTGCTGCTTGAAAGGAAAAGTTACTGATTTTTAATGTCTCTTTGTTCCAAAAACTAGTTCTGATTCCCTGTCTCTGTCTGCACTTAAAATATTCTTTTTTTCTTCTGCCAGCAGACTTAGCTGCTGCTGAACTATTACTGAGCAATCTTTATTCTTTCTCTGTTCTTTAACACTAATCTCCTGGGAGCAGGAACATAAAGCCCATCAGTTCAGGGAAGGCTGTGAATCTGGAGCAGTTTAGGATGCACTAGTACTCTCTAGCAGCTAGCCCCCCTTGCTTGGTACAGTGCATTGCACTTCTCCTGCACTTCCAAGTGGCCCAAAGTATACACTTCTAGTATTTGTAGGGCACAAGCTTTTACTTTTATCCATCTTTCCTTCTTGCACAGGACCAAAATACCCAAATATAGCAAGCCCCAGCTGCCGCTTTCAGTTACTGAATGCGATCTCTTCATATTGGCTGTTGGTGGAAAGAGAGCAGCAAAAGCACTCAAGGGAAGCAATAAGGCTCACTAAGTGCAGCAGAGTGTTTAGCTGTTAAGGGTCTTTGCAAGGTCCCATTGACCAACAGCAGTGCAGCAGCAGGGTTTTCAACCTCCCCACCAAGGCAATGAGCCCCATCTTGCTCTACAAGCATCCACATGGAAATGCCGTGAGGAGGATGCTCCAGAGCTGTTAACACTTCTTGTCCTAAGCAAGGTGGTAGGGTGGCCCCTCAGTGCCTCACTTCTGGGGTTAACTCCCGGTTGGTGGGACATGATGGGCAGCTCCAGCACCTGG